CATGAAATTTGGATGAGAAATACGACGAACAAATCTAACAAATCTAACAAACACGTTAATCTCGTCTAAGAGGGTATCTCCTCATAGTCGTCATGGGAATACCACTTGGTCAAATTGCCACAACATGAGGTGGTGTCATCAAGATGGCATCGCTTACAATATTCTCCTTTAGCATGCCTTTGCCTCAACTCCATAAAAGGCATATTTTTCGTTACTTCATTTGAAACTTCTAATCATTTGGTATCACCGCAAAAAGTTTATTAAAAATCAAGAAAAAAACATGAAAATAAAATTAAAAAGTACAAAATTGTAAACTTAAAGCAGATTTTTTTAAGAGGATATTATAATAAACTTTATGAGAACTTAATTGCATTGCATTGATGTCAAAAACAAAAAGGACGCAGAACAATTAAAAAAGATTTTCATAATGTAACTTCAAATATGTTTACACTTTAAATGAAAATATAATCATTATTTTGATCCATATTTATATTATTACATATGTAATATCATTTTCATAAGTACTAATAGTAGAAAAATTCATCACTAAAATATTCTGAAATCTATAAATATATAATGGAAAACCAGATACAGATAATATATAAAAATACATATAATATAGAAAATATAAAAGAAGAGTCTTCTGCAGTCCGTCCACGGACTGTAGAAGACCTGTGGAACCAGGGACTGGCCCCACTGATCAAGGGGTTGTGGTGTTTGCAGTCCATGCAGGATGGACTGCAAAACACCATTCTTAAAATATAAAAAGTATGTAAAAGAAGATGTAATATATAATAGTTCTAAAAAGATGACTGCATTTTGTGCAAACTTCTTGACAGAAAACATCTTTTTAGTCTCTAATGATTGTGAAAACAAGTCAATTGCTAAATTTATTGAAAAACCAAAGCAAAAATGAATTTCCATTCGTTTTATTTTCTGAAGTAGAAACAGAAGAAACGAACTGTTTGAAATATAATATGCAGGAAAACCCTCAAAACAACTGTTTGAAATGAAAAACAAAATGAAAGGCAGAAAAACTCAAAAACCAAGGTGATACCAAATAAATATTAAGTTTCAAATGAGATTTGAAAAATATACCTGTTATGTAGTTAAAGGTAGACTTGCCAAGGAAAATACTGCAATCCCCGCCATTGTCAACAACCAAAACCTCAACATTGTGGCTACATGAGAAGTAGATATCCCAAGATAACTAGCAAGGAAATGACCTCTTTAACTGAGACTACATGTTGCTAAATCTGTAGATTGGTCCATTGCATTTCAGCAACCAAATCTCATAAAGTCTCCTCTTCCTAAATATGTGATAGCATAGAATACCATGTACCCTTCCACTATCTACAAACATCTTTCCCACGGCAAAGTTCTCAATCTACAACGTAGAGACCAGTAGATTATTCTACAAACTTGCCATCCCTTGAGTGGTTATATCATCTCTTAAACTTAGATTATTCAATGTTACTTACGCCATGTAGTGACATTACTCAATATATCATATGAGTGTAAGAATGTCACCCCTTGAGTAATTATATCATTTCTCAAACTTAAAATTGGTTATACCATGTAGTGACATTACTTATAATGCATGTTATGTGTTGTGTGTGTGTTGTGAGTTGTGAAGTGATGAGGGTATAAAATTAACTAAAAACAAAATTCCAATCCACAGATTAAATTATACAATTCATGATAAAAAAATATAAAAGAACAAAATAATTGGCGTGGGGGAAGCAGAAGAAATCTTGATGCTTTGGATCAAAAGACTCATTTTCCTCCATATACTTCATCTCTCCATCAGCAAGGTGAAACACATGAATAAACCAAATCAATGAAACTTGTTAGTAATTAATCAAATTAAAGGCAACAGATTGACTAATATATAATCCATAAATGAAATAATTAATTAACACTAAGAAAACAGAGGAAAGTTAAAAGAACTAAATATATTCCGTTTCCAATTATACAAAAACAAACCATAAATGTATTTACTACAACTTCAAACACACTGAATTCATTTCCAATTATTAGATAAATATTCAAACAAAGCAGTGAAGTGAAACCATCAGAAACCAAACAAAATGGAATGCATGAGATTATATAAATTCATCTTTTTAAATATTCAATGGAAAGCAGGAAACTATCATCAGAGAACAGAATTAAGGCTACAATCAAAGTACAACAATAGAAAGAGATTACTAAACAATCCCCAATATGAACCAAAAAACACAAATTGCATGAAGAGAAGCTCAATATTCAATTCATGACAAAAAAAAGGGGTCACCTCAAACCAGGTGAAATCATGGAGTTCTACTCCTTGAATCCAAATCCCAAACTTCAAATATCTCTTCTGGGTCAATTCTTTTCTCTCCCTGGGCGGCTAGGGTTTGCAATCGGAATCCCCAAATGAAATCGGTAATGACATGGATCTATACCCAATTACAGAGCAGGACTTTGATCAATTTTTCCTCTAACGGACCCTAGACCCGAAAACCCATTAAATATCTCTAAAATTTCTACCCTTTTATTTACCTCAGGCTTGAAAACTTACCTCAAATCCTTAATCTCAGTTCGATTTCCGTCTGATGCAACCGGATTTTGAACCAAGTCGCCATCCTCGAACATGCGCCTCAACCCGATTCTGTAACTGCACCCCGTACAGCCCCGCGCATGTATGTGAGCGAACCCCGTGATGCCAGCGCTATAAAGTGAATAAGAATCGCGAAGCTCCGAGGCTAATCGAGATTATGAGAGAGGAGGCTGTTCTGTACGTTGGAGATTCGGAGGTTGAAGAGGGTGAGAGAAAGAAAAGAGGGGCATTTTTAGACCGTTGGGTTGGGTTTGCCTTAAGCGATGGGGTTCCGTGAAAAGCAGGAAATTTGGCTGTTGGGTCCAAGTTCTGTTGACCCATTTGGGGCCCGAGCTCATCCTATTGTAGCCTCTCTATCTACTATTACGAATAGCAGCCCATTAAGTTTTGCTTAATGTCGTTTTGATTTTATTTCATGGTCTTTCTTCTCTACTTCCATTTGCTTTCAATGTAACTCCAAGAATCAACGGCGTATATTAGATTCTACAAACGAAGTGTCATAAATGCCCTCTAAGCATAGAAAATATGAAAATCCTTTTCATTTTTCACTTCTCTTCTTCTTTTTTCCCTTCCCTCTTTTGGTGAATTATTACCACACTCTGAATAGTTAATATCACATTTTTTTAATATAATTACCTTTAATTTCTTAATAAATTAAAAAATATAATAGTTAATTAAAATAAAATTGTGTAGCATTAGCAATGGAGAGTGTGACAATAATATTACCTCTCTTTCTCCTCCAGGTATTTTGTTTTGCACTAACCATCCACTAGAAGGGCTTTGACTGATATAAAACTAATAATGAAAATATTATAGTTATAATGTTATGTGATATTATAAACATACAATATAATATTTCATTATAAAATTAGCTCTTTTTATTTAAGTGTTCATACGTAATATTATATGCATTTCCTCATTTAATATCACGTCATATTTCATTAAATATTATATAAGATTATAAATTTATAATGATATATGACATTATAATTATAGCATTACCGAACTAATAGACATCTCATTTTTGTCGTAGGCTTTGTTCGTAATGAAAGAAGTTATCTAGTCAATTTTATTTCATAACAAATGAAAAAAAAAGGACTGATTTGAGGGAACTTTTACAAAAAGGACTTGATCAATATAAAGAAATAACTTAAGGTATCAATTCGAATTTAAGAAAACTTCAGCGTAATAAGGTACCTTCTTTTTTTTTTTTTTCTTCTAAAATGTCTTAAACCCTAAAACCCGGCGTTCTGTTTCCCGCCTCTTGCCTT